AACCAATCATTTTTTCATCAAATATAATTTCAGTAAACAAAACTGCAAGTCATAAAACGATCTTACCACATAAGAAGGTTAACGAGTCAGGTTCTTACAAACATCTGAAATACAACTCTTAAGCTCACAATTCACAACTGATTCAGAGCTTATGGTCTCAATCCCCATGGTTATAAAAGACTAAGAATAGATAACAACCACCAGAGTTCTTGGTTATCATCAAAAACTTTTTAAGATACACCAAGATTTAAATTTAAGTAAGAACTGATCAAATAATAACCAACGACCCTTCAGGCTTTATTTCAAATCACAATTCTTTGAAATACTCAAAATATGATACCCTAAAATCATTTGAAAACACGGGCAATTAATGCCTTCTGGCTGTAAGCCGTTTCCCCCTTCTCAGTAACACCAATGTTATTATTTCAATAAGAGCAATATTTCTAAGTCATCAAGTCACAGAGAAATATTGATTTAGAATTATCACTTCTTATGAGTGTGATAAAAAGAGTTACAATAATCAATACACCCGCAAATGCCACCCTTATATCCATATGTACACCTCTCCTTGATATGCCATGCTTGTCCCATGGTACACTTCTAATTCATATGTCACCCTTGTTTCCTCCTCAAATCTACAGATAAATTTGTAATTTTAGCTAATAATGACCTCAAAACATAGTTTCATATCATAATAGACTTGCGACAACCGTCCTGAAGAAACATTTGACAAACCCGAAACATGGTTTCATATCAGAACAAACTTACATCACAACCGTCCTGAAGAAACTTAGTTCCATAGAAGAACATACTTACGTCACAACCGTTCTAAAGGAACATTTCTGAAATCAGTATTTCTTTCAAAATATAGTTTACGTCACAACCGTCTTGAAAGAAAACATAGTTTCATATCAGAACAGACTTACGTCACAACCGTCCTGAAGAAACATTAGAAAACTCATAAGTCAGTATTTCTTTCTAAACAGATTTTACGTCATAACCATCTTGAAAGAAAACATTAGTATCCTTTCTCAATTTACAAATCTCATTTAAAAGATACAAAATACCCTTTTCTTGATATAAAATAGTTTAAAACTGTTTAAATAACATTTGTGAAATACCACAGTTTTATAACACAAATCTTTAGTAATATATTCCCTTAATCAGGCAACACTATGGTCGATGAACACTCCTCATTGGACACCCTTAACTGGACAACACCTATCTAGACGAGACATGAAAATGGCAAACATACTCATGGTCACACCTTGTCTAGATACACCTTCATCGGACAACACATTCACTACAAGGGAAATAGGTTTTAGAGAAGAAACTTTCAGAGAAGCTTTTAGATATGTATCTAAAGATACATTATAGAGAAGGATTTAGATGACGAAAATGAGAAGTGTATCTAAACGTATGATGATCTTTAGAGAAGGGTTTGAAAGCTAATTATATGGTGTGGAAAATGTTGCTAAAGACTATAGAGAAGCATTTTACTAAAAACCTCTCTAAAAAGTCGACATCTATGATTTAGTAACACTTTTTAAGCTTCACTAAAGGTATATTTTTTATATTTTTTTAAAATTTGTAAAAAAGATGCAGTTACCTAATTTTGGTATATCTAAAAGAATTATTTTAAAATATAAATAAAGGAGCCAAATGAGTTTAGTTACGGTCAGAGGGTAGAAAGCCCAAATCGTTCATCTCACTCGTCGTTCATCTCACCCTCTGCGTCGATTTCTTGGATCACTCCTTCGCTCCTCATTTGTTGCCTTGTTTGATCGATTCCAAATTTGGGTTATGTGATTCCAAACTCCCAAGTATAAACCGTATGAGGGAAGAAGATTTACCAGGGAGAAAAAACGATCAGATCGAATTTGTTCATCATCTCCGCAGGTAAATTCCCCGTTTCGTTTTTGAAATATCTCAATCTTAGTAGTTAATAGAGTTTGAATTTGTTAAATTCATGTTAAAACCTGGATTTTTTTTTTCCCGTAGCGAGTTATGTGTGATTAGTATGTACTGTTATGTTATGTAACCTAGAATATAGTTTTTACATGCCTAATCGAACAACATTGTCATTTTTGTGAAGTGATACAACTTAAATGATATCAGATGTTCAGAGCATATGAAGAGTATTGACTATTATCTTCTACTAAACTTTCAATTATCAAAAATTGGCTTTGTTGCGTCATAGAAGCTAAATCGTGATGGTTGTAACTCAAAATCAGAAGCAAAAAAAGTTAAATATGCCTCAAAATACGAGATAATATACTGTATGCAATATCAACAGTATGTGATGTGATATTTAGGTGTATATATACAACATATAAATGTCAAACAGGTCATATTTTTTTGTGTGAAAATGAGATATCTCATTAACATTTATGTTATTAATATGTTTTGTTTTATGATTTCTGTTGTATTAATGCTACCTTTCATTATGGATATGGTGATCGTTATGAAAATGAGACCAGGTTACAGATTCGAGATTCTTCTTCTCAAGTAGCTATGTAACTTATCCACTCAATCACAAGTGAATACAAGATATCTAGATTTAACTTATCTACTCATTCCCAAGTTAATGAAAATAAATTGAAATGCACCTAAGTGGGCCTGAATTACCAAAGAAAATACTAAAGTTTTGGTAGTTCTGTTACCAGTGTTAAATATGGACTTAAAACAGAATTTCTTAGACATTTTTATGCATTACCAGTGTTAATTATATGCTCTATGTATATAATTGATGGAGATTACCACATTTTTAGGAAGACAAAGAAGTCAAACACTTATTATGGTTCCTCTTTTTAACTCCTCTAACTATTTTATACTTAACTGGAAGAGAAATTCTCAAAATATTATGGTTGGATATCTTTAATTCCATTCTACTTCAGACAAAGATATTAATCACACCAAGAGCCTAAGATATATATCTATTGGTTTCCCTAAATAGATCTCAGTTACTAGTTTAACTTGTAGCTAGATGACAATTAACATTGCTGATTCTTGTCGTAACATATATATATTTCAGTTTGTTTTTATGCCATGTATATTAGTAATTTGTAAGTGAATTTGGGTCCTTTCCATGCTCATCCCTAAGGTAAGTGACACCGGTAAGCGTTTGGTAAACGACCCCTTATTCTAACCACATCAATTCAGTGTTCATTTCCCAATTCAGCGTTTGGTAAGCTTCAATTTAAGCAGACTTTAATTTGCCACATGAATTGCACCATATGCCTTTGTGATTGGTGACTTTTGAGAAAGTAATCATTTGGTTACTTTTAAAGGTGACTTTTGAGAAAGTATACATTATGATACCAATATTCTGAAGTGTATTATAATACTAATTTGCAAAGTACACGTAACTTCTTACGTTTTGATGTTTTGATGTTTCAACTTAAGACTTATGTTTTGAAAGGATGTGGTGATCCATAATGTGTCCAATTGGCATGACTGCATTAAGTACACGTAACTTCTTCTTCTGGTACGTTATAGCCTTTACACCTTGGTTTTCTGGTGCTGCATGGAAGTCTTATAAATGAGTAAACCTAGAGGGAAGTCCTGAACTCGATGCTTTAGTGCATGCAGCAGTAGCTTTTTCTAATATCTGGAAGGTGCATTATTGTGCCTAATTTTTTAGCATTACAGTAGCAGCAGCAGCCTGATGCAAATCAAAATGTGAGAAAAACAAAACACAAACACATACCATAATTCTGCCTTTTTGTAACTCTGTTCATCATGTTTGAATGTCAATCACTGTCCAACATTGTCCAAAGGAATCAATACTTGAAATCAGCTGTTTGGGATTGCATTCTGTCTGTGTGTGTTTGTCTTGCTGTTTTGTTTCAACATTTTTTAGACATATTAAGTCTGTGTGTGTTTGTGCTACTGCTGCTACATCAGTCCTAATTTGGGCTATGGATGTTTCTCTTTGATGATAGACACAGAAACTATACCTATAATGTGTTGGTGCTCATTGTTGTTCTTTCCAAGATCATTTATGGTGATTATAACCTTTTAAGTTATCAAGTTATTGTTTTTGTTCTTGATTTTTTTATGTTGGTATTTGCTGATTTCTTTCAAATTCCATGGCCTATTTTGTGTTACCCCTGTTGTTTTCCATTTTATCTTACACACACACACACACAAGGTCATGTAGTTCCTTTATAACTTGGTTTATGTGTGTGTTGTGTCCTTTATAACTTGGTCATGTAGTGACTGCTCTCAATTTCACTGCAACATTCCCAAAATAAGATAAAAAAATTAATAGAGGATCTTGTTTTGATGAAAATTTTAACCTGATATACACATGAGATCATGAAGCATTTAAGACAAAGTCTAAAACTATATGTAGACATGGAAAGAGATGTTTATAATATGAAAGACATAGGAACTCCATATTCTGTCCATTAAGTTTGCACATGTCCGTTACAAGCATATGTGAATGTTATAGAGCTAATGGTCTATTAAGTCTTAATGACAAGAATTATACAAATTATACATCTATAGCATCTTCTCCCGCTATAAGAAATGCCCCACACCCACTTTGTTTGACGTCATGTAAAATATATCCTGAATTGTTTCCTCTTAGAACTTCCACACATGGGTGAGGTTAGTGCCCTACATCACTATGGCCATCTTTTCCTCAATCACTAGACAATGCCACAGTGAGATGTTTATCAATTCTGATCAATATGATTATGATATACTACCTAAAGAGTAAAGTTCACTTAGATGTAAATATATAGCCATGTCTCAATATGATTACACTTCTAATCCAAAATCTATGAAACAAATATGGAAGACCAAATGTATCTATCCCATATATATTCTTCCAAATATATCTTCTCTCTGTCTTTTTTTTTGGGTCTCTCTCGTTTTTTTATTATTTAAGAAGTTATTTTAACATAACTGCTTGATCAATTTCTTTTTAAATCTCTAAAGTTTTTAAATCTCCATGGCTTCTTTCCCTTGTATTGGTTCATGGCATTGAGGTTGACAGTAGCCTCCTCCTCACTCTGACCACCTGACAAGAACATAGCAGCTGGGACAGCTGGTGGCATGGTTCGTTGCAGGGCACGGACTGTGTACTCTGCCACTACTTCGGGAAATATTTTCATTCAGAGAAGCTACTGCCAGTGAGTGTGCCAACCATCAACTAAATCCATGTTTACTTGCATAGCCGTCAAATTTATTGTTAGGATTTATAATGAAAATCTCGAATATGTTGCATTGGAAAAAGATTCTTCTAAATAAAGTAACCTGAATCCCCATCTCCAGGAAAGACGGAAAGAAATAACTGATTATGAACGCATATAAGCACCGTGCACAAAATTGGCAGATCAGACAAATTATACTCCAATTGTAAGTTGTTTTTGGATCTTGATATGCTTTGTCTTACTTTGTGTTTATGTTAACCATCTTAGGCTATTCTGACTTCCTTTAATATCTAGTTATGCTAAACCTATTGACCTTGTTACTGTTTATGGAAACACCTAACTGATTGTTATTTAAGTTGTTTATTATTGTTTTGATCACTATCATAGTACCTACCTATTAAAATGTTTGCTGATATATAACGCAGCAAACCTCCTATGAAAGTAGCAGTACAGCTTCAGATATTCGTGCAAATGTCATCCAGGTTTAAATCAATGTCTGCAGCCATGGAACTAATTAACCAGTTGTTGTTAAGATGAAGGCACATGCAATAGTAAATGTTAGTGTTAGAGAGCTTAATTATTACCTGATTAATTATGTTTTTGATTAATTTTTTTATTATGTTTGAGATAACTTAGATTTCAAACAGTTACTATAAGTTATTTGGTATATTTGGTTCAGTTAATCTTTTTATTATATTTTACATTTTTAAAATATATGATATATGTTTGTAAAACCCTTAATGAAAGTTCAAGTTATATCATATATTGTTATCTTGATTATGTCATGTATCAGAACTTGGGATTTCCAAGCTGTTTAGTTAGTCTAGAAGATATAGCTTTTAATGGGTAGTCTATTTTCCATTAAATTTATAGACATTATAAAAAATAAATAATTCAATTTACAATATTGATTTTAGCCAAGTGAGAACTGAAACCTGCAAAACTCTGTGCATGGCTTCAATTTGCTTCCTAAACCAGATTAAAACGACTCCATGTCTATATATTACAACACATTAATTATTTTATTTACAACTTTGACAGCATATACAAGATGAAGACAAGAGACCCTACAGGAAGTTTATGTGATTCCTACCTCTAAAAATGGTATTTGAATGAATAACAAACATGTCGATGGAAAGAATCTAGGTTTCTTTTCACAAACTAGATGCAGCTTTTTCAATCAATAATTTTTTCTTGTATTGATTATCCAGACCCTTCTACTTGGAGACTGTATACCAGTTTACTTGTGTTTCTTGTTTCCCTTTTCATTTGCAGCAGTTGAAATAAGGAATTACTAGGATGAGGGAGGAGGTGCGACGAGCGACTGAGRAAGGAGRAGGTGMGAGCGATGATGGAGGAGGGAGGAGGTGCGAGCGATGATGGAGGAGAAGTGACAGCCGAAAGGGGAGGAGGATGGGGAGCGATGAGAGTCGGGAGCGGTGAGGGAGGGGGAGGAAAACCTAATCGTGAAAAGGGGCATGGTTGGAAAGTGGATATCTGACCTGGGTAAGCATGATTTTCTTGCTGTTTTGGTAAGTGATCGGTCAACACCTTGGTCAGTTCTCGGTCAACACCTTGGTCGGTTCTCGGTCAGAATGGTATTTTGGTAAACAATCTGACTGCTGACCGAGTCAGCGTTGCTGACCGGCAGAGCCTAGTAAACAGCCCTTAAGTATTTATGTGGGTTGTATGCAATTATGGTACAATTCTATGCTTAGTATGGGATTTGTGTTGTGGTTGCTTATGCCAAGTGAATTTCTTTACCCAAACAGACCTGTGCTATATACTGCATTTTAATCAATTGTGTTTTGTTTTTGTTTTTGTTTTTGTTTTTGTTTTTGTTTTTGTAGGCTATGTCAAGGAAAAATTCTGAGAATAGGTCGATTGAGCCACACCGAGATGTCTATTAGACTTGCTTTAACGGAGTTCGAGCTTGCTTCAACCAAATCCGAGCTCTTTCTTATGAAGGATGAAGTCCCTGAGTTGTGACAAATGGTGAGGTCAATTGTATCCGGCTGGTAAGTTCCAAGTTTTTCATCTTCATTAACTGTTCAAGACCAAAGTTTGGAGACTCAAGATCGTTAAACATGCTATGATGATTTTGGATGTTTTTTTGTTGATAAATTTAGACGATATATGAACTAGTTGAAGATTAAATTTGGATGGTTCTTATATATATTAAATTGTTTTGAGATTATTATTAATTTGTTCCTGATTAATTTAATATTATTTAGTAGTTTAATTTTATTATAATATATATATATATATATATAGCTGAATGGATGAAATAAATATATAATATATTTTTTAGAGAAGGAATTTTGTTTTTAAAAGCGTAACTGAAGATAATTTTTAGAGAAGGAATTGATTTTTTAAAAGTGTAACTAAAGATAATTTTTAGAGAAGATTTTGAGTTTGTGTATCTAAATATCATATTTAGAGAAGATTTTGTAAGTGTAACTAACGAGGATTTTTAGAGAAGATTTGTTAAAAGTGTCACTAAAGCCAATATCTTTAGAGAAGCTTTTCAATTACCTTCTCTAAAAGTATTTTTTAGTAACACTTATAAACCGTCACAAATATTTTAAAAGCGTCACTAATATATATACTTTTAGAGAAGCTTTGAATAAAAAGTTGACTAACATTTAAGGAAGTTTTGGATGTGTATCTAAAGCCTCAAATAAGCGTCTCTAAAGGCTAACAAAAACACACCCTCCGAAAACCCTCTCTAAAACCTTCACCTACCGTTACATAGAGAAGCTCTTTGACAAAATTGAAAAGCTTCTCTAAAGGCTTTAGAGAAGCTTTTAAGACTTTTAAATACAAAATAATACTTTCTCTGAAGGTCATTTTTCTTGTAGTGATTGTCCAGATATAGTGTTATAACCAGGTTTTCAGCAAACCTAAGTCAAGGTAACCTTATGTGTTTATTATATGAATTATGTGATAGCATGCATGTTAGTCCCGAAGGGGATGGCAATAAACAGAAAGTAATTATAGAAGTGGGGGTTGAATACAATTACACAGACTTTTTTCAACTTTTTAATTCTTATTGATTTATATCAAGAATTAATACACACAGAAATACAAAAGATTRTTSYDGAAGATAGGAAAGGAAAACCTAACCTAAACAATCTTACAAGGAGAAGAACTTTCAAGAACAACACAAAGAGTTCTTGAAAGAAAATGAAGAACACTAAGATTTTCTTCGCACACAGGAGAGCAAGGGAGAAGAAGAGAATAGTCGATTGCTTTTAGAATTCACTCAGTAATCTTTCAAAAGCCAGTTGTGTGCATGGGAGATGCAAACTGCCTTTTTATACTAGCTTCAGCATTTAATGCATCGGGACACTTGTCACCTGAGGATAAGAAGGTAGGGGTTGACTTGACCATTGTTGATATCTCATTTTCATCGTACACAGGGTGCATACAATATTGTTCATGCAGAGACAAACTTTTGCAGAGATATGGTCAGTCTGTAGGAAGATCTCCTTTGGATGGATATGTAGCTTCAAGCAGCTACTCACAAATCTTCGGTCTAAGAAGATCTCCAATCTTGGGTCCATGAAGATTTTTCAATCTTCGATCCATGATCTTCAATCTTCAGTCCATGAAGATTTTCAATCTTCGGTCTATTAAGATCTTCCATCAATCGGCTTGTAGCTTCAAAATATTTTCAATATGCATTTCAGCTACTTTGGAGTCTTGGTGTGTATAATAGACAGTCGATCCACAACACCGCATCGGTGACCTTCTGTCTTCACATTAGCTAGTCTTCGATTTTGCCAATATACAAAGAACCAATAACTACTAAGTGTTGCTAAGGTAGAGAAACAGATCAGTGGGTCATCACCAAATCAATAGGTGACCCAACAATCTCCCCCTATTTGATGATGATACAAACACTTAGAAAGAAATAAATACAAGAAAAATAACTCTAAAATTCTTTAAGAAGAAAACTTATAAATTATGTGACCCATGTACATATTTTTCTTTTCTTTTCTTTTTTTATTTTATTTATTTTTTTTTTTTGATTTTTTTTTGATTTTTTTCTTTTTGATTTTTTTTTGATTTTTTTTTACTATAGACATATATACAAATAAATAACGAATCAGAGATAAACAAGTAAATAATGAAAATTTTGAAGTAAATACTGAAAAATCAAATTGCATCTATACTAGACAATGAATTAAATACTTACAGTGAAGAAAGTAGTTCAAAAAGAAGAAGTCACATAGAAAAGCTAGCAGTCATCATCTACTTCCACAACATCTGAATCAGCCACTGCAAGAACATCTCTTCTCTTCAGTTCATCCGAGGTCAACGAATAAAAGACTCTTCCAGCTTCACCAATTTCGATTATACTTAGTATCACGTGCAATAGCTGAGAATCAGCTATAGGTATCTCAGAAGCTCGAAAAAATCGAAGGCAACTACTCGCGTCCCAGAAGAATATTCAATGCTCAGGAGTGGACAAGATAGTTCCTTCCGGATGACAATCATTTGAAGGAAGGGTAAGATCAAGATGTGAGACATTAGGGGCCTTACCTTCATTTGATAATTTCTGAATAAGAGAATCTTGATTCTTGATGGACTTCGAGGCAGAAGCAGATTTAGAAGAACCAACTTTACTTAACATTTGCTTTAGAAAGGAGAGTTGTGGAGGGGAAGGCAGCTTGTAATACATCTTGTTCATTTGTATCTTTTTCAGAAGGCGATACAGATGACTCAAGAGAAATTCCTTGTACATACTTCTGCTTTTATTAAGAAACTTGATGATCTCCATCCACTCAGAAAGACCGTAGGCATTGATCCAAAGCAGATTTTCTATCCTTACTGCTCCGTTTTCTCGACCAATAATCAAATAGATCAGATTGGAATCATAGGTCAATTTTTGAGGACCTTTGATTCTGGCATTGACAATTCGAGTAGTAATGTAGCGTCGAAGAATTGAGTCATTAAACCATTTAATTCTTTTCTCTTTGGTTTCTTCAGACTCAGATCGTGGGACCAATGAGTGAGATCTGTTGGCTTCCTCGAATTGCTTTTGAAGAGCAATTGAGTTGGCCGCATCCTCAGCAGAAATACCTAGGAGGTGAAGATCAGTTTCTTGAGGACATTAAGCTTTAAGCATAAGTTTGTCGGCTGTAGAGACTTCAGATTGAAATCTAGCAATTTTAGCTGCTTTAGTTGTAACAGCTTCTTCATCTGAGGTCATAGGTGCCTTTTCTTCTCTGTGAGTTGGGACTAAGTCCCCAGAAGCAGTGGGAATATCATCTTAAGAAGGTATAGTACCAACATCAACAGATAATGAAGGCATAGAGCACGGTTGCTCCCCCTCAATAGGTGCTACATCTCTATCAACATGATCAACTAGCTCACCCTCATTATAAGCATCACAATCTGACTCAACTGAGGAAGAAGAGGTAGAAGAGGTAGAAGCTGAGTCGTCGTCCACGTTTTCACTGATAGTAGGGTCAACTGTCTTCTCCCCCTCAGTGGGAATGGGGGAAGGCTCACTAGCAGGAACAAGAGGACCCTCCACATTGGCAAAGGAGGAAGGCACATAGGCAGTAGCACGAGAAGAGAGAGTAAGGGGAGCACATGTGGCACGTAGCAGACATGATATACCGCGATGAAGACCGCCAAGAAGAGCATAATCGGACTCAACACAGCGACTGACTTTGGCTAACATAACCCTGTCCTCTTCCGTGAACTGAGTGGGACCCAAGTCAACAGATAACTCTATATCTCTGTCTAAGAACAACTTGGATATATGTATCTGTGCGTCCACCTTGGAGTGTAGATCTGCCAGAGACTGGAGAATGGACTGATTTGTAGCAGCCTGACTATCCGATCGAGCAGGAAGATCAGCTACTGCTTCAGAGATACTAGACTAGGAATTTGAGAGAGCAGTCATACGAGCATCAAGAGAATCAACTGTATCTTTAATAGCTGTAAAAGCAATGCCATGATCTTGCAAAGCGGCACAGTGTTGGCGCAGCTTAGAAGTAACGCTGGAGGCAAAGTAGTCTAATCTCCCAGATAAATCAGTACTTAGGGAGGCCTGTTGAGAGATGAGCAGCTGACACTGAGATGAGAAACCCCTAAACATGTCCACCACCTCAGTGGGTAAGGCATAGATCACCTCAGGAGGGGAGGGAGCTGAGAACTGAAAGCCCGGGGTAGAAGAGGGTCTTGAGGGAGAAACAACAGCTGGAGTAGGGGAGCAAGCTTTGATTGGGCTTGCTGACCCACTCGGAGAAGAACCACCAACACTCTCAGTACCAYCAGCGCCCTGAGAGTCACCGATGGGAGTATCACTGATGTTGGCGTGAGGCTCAACATCTGTATCAATGATATCGGCGTGAGGCTCAATATCTGTATCAGCAACACTGTCGAGAGGCTCAGTGTCTGTATCACCAACACCGGCGAGAGGCTCGATGTCTGTATCATCGACGCCTGCGTGAGGCGGGTCGTCGATTACAACTGTAGTAGAGGTAGTAGGTTGGTAAGGCTCACCACCTACATCCATAAGAAGATAATGGAGAAAAGGGATGTCAATATCAGACGGTGCTGATAAATCATCCATCCGTGCAATATCATCAAGATCGTCGATCTCGGGTGATAGGCCGTGAATATGTGGAGGAGAGGAAAGACCTCGGAAAGGGGAGGTATCCGAGTCATCACCAAGGGCATGTAGAGATGCCAAGGTGGAGTCACGTGGGATCCCCGTATGTACAACAGTGTCCTGTTGAGAGGGAACTGAGGAGCTAGGGGTGTATAACAAATGTCCTAGGCTCAGTAGGACCAACTTCAACAACCTTGGACAGTGGAGAATCCTTGGTTGGAGATGTGTTTKTAGCCCTTTTTGGCTTCTTGGTTTTCTTAGAGGAAGAGCCAAGAGTGGATAATCTAGAGTGACTCCGCTTTGAGTGAGAGGGGTGAGAGGCGGGGTGAGACTCCGAAGACGCTTTCGAAGTCATAGCCTCAGAAGCAGATGCGGAGGATGGGGGAATAAAACTATCTGCAAGCCGTCTCCGGACAGAGGAGGCGGCCTCTTTTGAGGCAGTAGCTAAAGAAGTAGAAGGGAGAGGGGCCACTGACATGAAGGAGTGTTGGGTGACCGGAGCAACATGAGGA